TCCAATCCTAGGGCGGGGCAGCTCCCCCCCGCTCTTCGGTGCCACTCATTAGCCAAGACATCCAGACGGCAAGGCGAGCGTCACTCGGGGAATGTGGCTCAGCCACCCATTAATGGAAACTGGAGCCAGAGCCACAGAGCGGTTCCCTAAATGGCGTGCGAGAGACCCAAGGGAGGCAGGGCTTGGAGGGCAGAGTCCTTGCCTGAGACCAGGCTCATCAAGTCTGGGACCAGCGGCATGCCAGGGCCTGTGCTGTGGGGTTTTCTTCTCCCACGTCTGCTGCTGCCAAGCAGGATGGTTCTGCAGAAGGAAGGGAGCCCCAAATTGGAGATCTCGTCCCTTCGGAGGCGATTCCTTTGGCCTTGCAGGCTCTCCCTCCTCTGAAACGTGGCGGTGTGTCGCCTGCCACATCAGAGCCTGGAGCGGCAGAGAACGCAGTCCTCACGCGGGGGGAGCAAAGCGTGTTCCTGACACACCCTGAGGCCCACAGAGACTGGGAGGAGAACATGAGCCTCATCTGGATACCAGGACACGCTAGATGCGGTGGGTGCACGGATGAAGGGGCTGCACTGCATCATTGCCAGCAGGAACAGTCTGCTCCCATGCCGTTGCATTGGCTGAAATGCTGGGAAAGTCACCTGGGAGCATGACTCCGGCAGCCACACAAGCACACACACAAAATGCCTATATATCATCCATCTGTATTTGTTTCTTTCCCATGAAGAACCCCAGGTCTTTCCCCAGGCAACAGACCTGTGCAAACCCAGTCCCTAGCCACAACTCTTGAGGTCAACGTCTTGCAGGACAGCCACTTCTACCTAAGACTTTGCCTAAAAGAGGATTAAAGGGGCTGAAATGCAGACGCTGGGCTTCAAAACCAAAGGGCATTGATCTCCAGAAGCCAGAGGGCCGGCTCGCCCAGAACGGTGCCCGTAACCAGGGGCGGCTGTCTCCCCAGCTTTTAAGTACAGCCAATGTGGCAGAGATGAATTGGCCAGCCTTTTGTACGTGCACGTGCTGCCAATGCCACCTCGTTCCCTTGGCAGCCTGGCTTTTCAGAGTCTATTCCCCATGCATCAAACCACTCGGACATAGTACAAAGGCGGGCAGTCCTTCTTCTGAGAGCAGCTTTGCTGACTCGAGACACACGGCTGGGTTCGCTTGGCTCCTTTCCTTCCAAATTACCCTCTCCCCCACCAGGCTGGACCAGAACAGGGTCTCACCCTCTGGCCTGCTCCTCCGTGAGCTGGTTGGGAGCCTGGGATGAAAACAAATCAGCCCCCAAATGGCCTAGCTGCAGCAGCCCCAAATCCCTGTGTCAGCCTGGTTTATTCTGCTTGGGGGACAGACGATTGCTCTTGGCACTAGTGGGGTGGCTGGCAAAGCACAGACTGGATGTGCTGGCTACCCCAAAGGGGATGTTGAAGAGTTGCTTCTCTCTTTTGCACTCAGATAAGGCCTGCAGTTGGCTTTGGGTGTCTGCAGTGCCATGCCATCCTGGGCTGTCTTTAGTGCAGGAGACCAGCAAGGCAGCACCTGCTCTGCACCCTGGGATGTGCTCTTGGATTCAACTGCATGTTCCTTTTCGGTTTGTGGAGCATGGCAGAGCAGCCTGGGAAATGCAGCTCGCTGCTCAGGCCCCGCAGCACTGGGACATGTGTGCTCCAAGGCTCAGAGGGTCCAGCTCCCACCTTGAAAGATGAAAACACCCAGCTTTTTCATGTCAGAGCTGCTCTTCTCCCTAGGAGCCGGGTGGCCAGGGCTCAGGCTTCAGCCGTGGCTGGGAGCCTGCAGCGAGTCCTTTCCATCTCCAGGGACGCTGGCTAGGAAGCATCTTCCAGCAATAGGAAGGAAGCAGGTCACCACTGGGACCCCGTGCCCTCTGGCTGTATGGTGAGGATGATGCTGGGACCAGACTGTCCTCGACTGCCAGCTCCCTCCAGCACCTGTAACGATCTGCTGGACATGGAGATGCGTTCGGCCACAGGATGGAGCCAATTTGGGGAAACTTTCATCATAACATCTGCTTCTAGGGCAGAGGTGTTAACTCTTTCAATGCCTTGCACGATGCTAGCCTTTCACAGCACATGCCAGGCTGAGGTTAGCAGCTAGGTCTGCCAAGAAGGGCTCTGGGAAAGAGGGCAAGATGAGGCACGGCCAGCGGGCATCTGCACAGCCCCCGCATAAAGGGGGAAGGATGCACCTGTGTTTGCACGCAGGCTCCCAGGACCTTTGTGCCCCAAAGCTGGGGGGCACCGCACTGTCTGCCATAGTCCAAGTTGGAAGCAAAGACTTTCAAGGTGATCTCCTTTATCGGACTGATGACGTAGTTGGGATAAAGTTAGAGAAGGTTTTGAATGCAAGATATTCCTTGTCAGGTCTCTGATTGCAAGAAGCCAGGCACAGCAGGCACCTGATGAAGGATGACTTGCATTCAGAAGTTTCTCTAGCTTTATCCAGCAACATATTTGGTCCAGCAAAAGGGAGAACATAAGAACTGCCAAGTACTGGGTCAGACCCTAGGTCCATGCTGCCCTGTCTCTCAAAGAGGCAAAGAGGAGATGCTGAAGGGGAGAGTGAACTGGGTCTGACCTGGGTTTTTTCTACTGTTCCTCTCTCCCCAGCAGCCTCTAGCATTTAAGGCTTAGGAAAAAGATCCTGCCTCTTGCATAATTTCTGGATCATCACGACTACGACATCCCTTGTCCCCCCACCACAGTCAAAGCTGCATGGGCATAAGAAATAAGGGACTCTTACTCGCTTCGTCTCAGGCACCAGGTCGTCCTTCATCCTCCGCTTGGTCCAGTCCTTGGCCAGCTCGTCTTCGGCTATTTCCTGGAGGTGGAAGACGGCCACCTGGGCTGACGTGCGCCGGATCCTACCGCTCGGAGTCCTCTCGAAATCTTCTACCGGGTTGGCCTCGGGTTTCACCTCTGGCTCCTCGGGCGGCTGCAGCATAGAGAGGGTTAGGAAAGGGAGTGGGGAAAGCAAGGAGCAAGGAGAAAAGGAAGGGCTTTTATCACTGGTGCTGGGAAATAGTTATCACCAGTACCGGGAAGCCCCTTCCAGGCCTGGGGGGCTGGCACGGACAACTGACCACAATGCCAGCTGCAGACGAACTGTCTTGCCCTGGTGGGTTGGGGTTTGGGAATTGCACCCAGCTGCTTTTGCAGTCCCCTTCCTTTCACGATACCCAGACAGCATCTAAGGGCAGCAGGGAGAGTTCAGCCCACAGGAGAAACTCCCAGCAAGAGCTCGCTCCAGAGCCTGGCAGCACCCACGGGCCTCAACGAACAGCACCGCGTGCCCCGAGAGGCCGGGTCTCACCGAAGAGGGGTGCTCCGACCGGAGGTGGTAGTCGTGGCCGGCCTTTGATTTATACTTCTTCCCACAGTGAGGGCAGGTGAACACGGGCTTCTCTACTTCGGCGGGCTGCTTCCCGCAGCGCTTCTGGTGGTACTGGTAGCCCATCAGGCTGGAGAAGTTGGCCGTGCAGCCCTGGGGAGAAGGAGCGCGCGGAGGGTTAGGCGGTGGCATCGCTGGATACGCAGGCACGCAGGCCGAACCCGCCCCAGTGCAGCCGGCTGGGCGTCTCGAGGAGGAACACACCGCTTTTCCTGAGCGCCCTCGCTTCATGCACTCGGAGCCTCCCCAGCTGGCTCACGGAGGAGCTGCGAAGCCCAGGGCAGCGGCAGCTTCCTGCGCCCACTTACCCGCGAGCCTCGGAGGCTGCTTCCCGCGTCCTTCGTTGTGAGCCAGCTCCGCGGACCCCGCCCCTCCGGGGACGCTCAGTGCCCTGGGATGCGAGCAGAGCTTCCTAACTGCCTGCGTGATCCCTACGGGCAGAGCGGCTGGGGG